GCGCATTGTGCCGCCCCAGATGGACTTGCAGGGTGTTCTGCAGTGCCGCTTCGTAACTTGTCTGCCTACTCAGCTCGGACCGCGCAAGACCCCAAGGGACGCAGTTGTTTGAAGTGCAGAGTGGGGATCCAATGGGGCGGTCAGGCTGGTCCAGAAAGCCTAGATCGGCGAGTGCGGCGAGTGCGCGGGGATTTGCCGACGCGGCTTAGACCTGGAGGATGTGCGAGAGCGTTGGCTGGCCAGGCATTAGATGCCAGTGTTTTTGGTCCGGGTGATCCGCGCCCGCTCTCGGAGTCTCACGTGCGCACATTTGAGCCCCGCATCTTCGGGGTCCAGGACATTTGGAAGCCGTGCGAGGGCGCGCTGGCAACCGCAGTCCGCCCCTTGTGGAGCGATACTCACCAGATTAAGCGGCTTATCGTGCCGGGGATGCAGCGTGCTCGGGCGTCTTGGACGCTGGTATATGACCGTATGTGCGCTGCGCTCAAAGACCCCGATTTCGACGCGGCTTTTATCGACTGGGTTAAGCAGCATCAAGAGCTGCATCGCATACCCTACGAGGATATTCGTGATGAGCTCGCTTCCGCGGAGAAAAGGACGCGCTATGCGCGCCCGTTGAACGGGACGAAGGCTACCTTCTCTGTAGCAGCGATTGCCGTAATCGGATCAGGGCGCTGAGTTGTCTCGCGTGTAGGGCAACTGTGCAGTATGGAGCAATCCTCTCCGAACCCGATACAACTAGGCCGAATACTGCATACGGTGACATTGGTCTAGCCAGACGGGATCGCCAGGACTGCGTCCCTGACCCTACGGCGAGGAGATGGACTGGGGCCGACACCGATCGGTTGCAAGCAAGGACGCAGAAGAAGTGGAAAGACGCTGACGCCGCGGGTATAACTATCCGCAGTGTCACACCGTTTTAACTGCGCTTCACGGCAACACCATGACAGTCTTTGTTTGTTTGCCTACGTCCCCTGATGACGAGCTACCTGCACCGCGGCATCCCTGCGCGCTCGAAAAGACGAGGAGGTTGGCTCGCAGATGGATCAAGTTCCAGAATAACCACCTCCGTGCGCCTGCGGCAGGGAAAGATGCGGCAGGCTACCCGATGGCGTGGCGGCCGCGCGTCAGCAGGAGGGTGACGAGGCCCCGGTGTCGCAGGCGCGTGAAACGAGGGCAGAGACACCAGCCGACGTCGTCGGGGCCGGCGCATCTTCTCGCGAGCCATCTGCCAAGGGAGCACAGAGGCCGAATTCTGCGAAGCTTGAGGGCCGCGCTACGGCAGCGAGAGCGTCGGCGACGCCACGGGCAAAGGCAAGGGCAACCAGAGCAGCGGCAAGGGAGCAAAGAGGCCGAGCAGTCGCGCGCCAGATGAGCAACCAAAATCCAGGCGGCGCCGAGCTGCAGCGGGACATGCCCCACAGCGCGCGGGCTGCCCCTTTCGAGTTCCACGCCTGCCGCGAGGCCGCTTGCAGCCCGCGACTTTCGATGTCGGGGCGTTCCATGGCGCGCTTAGGCAGATGCCGCGCGGCGCCGCGCGGGGGTTGCCCGCCCGTGTCGCGCGCGCGCGCCGACGCGCGGCAGCAGACTGCGGACTCCCCCCCCCTCCGTGGCAGGGAGGTGCCACAGACTGGCGGTCGTTGTGGAGCTGCGGCTTAGGCAGCTGGCGCGATGACAGCAGGGGCCGCGACGATCACAGTTGGAGGCGAGAGGAAGAGAATGAGGTGGGAAACGCGGCTATGCCGATAGTACCCCTTCTAGCTTCACAGTCGTTTCAAGTGCGTCCATAAGGGGTGCAGTGGGCCGCCGAATCACAAAGGTGGCATGCACCCAGCGTCTCTGTGCATGGCGAGCCAGGCGGCGGGGGCGCTGCCTGCCGGGCGCGACGTTGCAGGACGCTTCGGCGAACAATTTGGGCATTGGCAAATCGTCGACGCCCGCCCGCGCGAGTGGAGCTCGCCAGGCCGGCCGCGGGCGGGGGGGTGATTTAGTCCCACTCCCGTGTGCCTGCGCTGCGTGCAGTGATGTGCCCGGAGGTGTGCGTTGGCTGCGATTGCAAAAGAGCGCCCCGCCCGCCCCGCGCGCGCCCGCCCTGCCGGCTAGGTCTCAATGACGTCGCAGCTGCAGAAGTTTAACGGATGCGATACACACTTCTCGCCATGGCAGCAGGGGGTACATCACCAATCCACAAGATGAGCCTGTGCAAGAGACTGCCACTTGAACATCATAAATAACGACGACAATATGAACATGAACACATGTTGCCGATCAGTTGGGCTACGAAAGCTTCCATCCTCTCAGGAAATTGGCAACATGTTTGGCCCTTGCGATGGATTCGTTGCGAAGAGCTTCTTATCGAGGATCCCTTATTCGGGGATCCTTACTCGCGGGGTCCTTACTACGGATTCCTTAGTGTGGATCTTGACGCAAGCACGCCCTACTCAGGATTTGTTCATAACGGCTGCTGCTTGCGGATTCATTGCTAAGGACTCTTTTGCCAAGAACCATTAGCAATTATTCCCGAGCGCATGCCTATTTGAAAGAAGGGGTCACGACCGCGGAATATGTGCTTATGGGTCCCTTTTGTAAGGACTCAATCGCGTTTCATTCATGAGTCGTTAGTGGGGATGCGTTATTTCACATTCCTCACTTAGGATTTTGTTTTTCCGGATTCCTCATTCCGGAGCCATTATTACGGAAACGCCCGAATGGTTCAAATCGTATTTGTTTAACCCGCCATGGGTCCCCAGTGTCCTTGTTCCCTCGTTGTTGGTGTTGGTGTTGATCTTGTTGTTGTTGATGTTGTTCTTGTTGTTGCTGATCTTGTTGTTGCTGCAGCTGCTGCTGCTGCTGCTGCTGTTCTTGCCGTGGGTGTTGAAAGAGAAGTAGTGTTAATCCTTCCTCTCTGGTCGCATATTGTTTTGTCAATTGAAATGCCCTTCCGGGGCCTCGCAGCCTGTTCTTGTGCATGGAAAGACTTTGTCATCAAACTACGTTGTTGGCCCCCGAACTACAAAAACAATGGATCCCGCCTGATACATCCTGACAGTGTATTCCCACACCGCGCTCTCGCGCGGGACTTCCTCACAGTCCATGCAGGAATCGCACTCTCGCGTTCGATTTCCTGACAATGTATTCAGACCGCGCCCTCGACATTCAGCAGTCACGCTCCCGCTGTGCGTTTCCTCACGATTGATTTGGGAATCGAGCTGCCGCTCGAGATTTCCTTGCAATGCGTGCAGGACGCACGCTTCAGCAACCGGCCTGCTCGACCTGGCCGCCCGAACCATCCTTCCCGACCCTCCTTGCAGGGTCTACCCCCGATCTGCCCGTCTGGTTCTGCCACGTGCATTATGCTCCTAACCCTCTTCCTCCTGGTCCTGGTCTCTCTCGTGCTTCATCCTCCTCCCTCCCACTTGTCCCTTCCCTCCATCCGTCCTCTTTTCCCCTGCCTCAGGGGCTGCACAACATAGAGAAATACCCCCAAAGGAGTACGAACGAAGACGAAGAGGGTGGGTATCGAGGGTTCGGTATACACGTGTTGAATGGAACGCGAGCAGATAAGAGCCAACAGTTTTCTAATGATTGATGTTGTTGTCGTCGTCGGCTTCGTCGTTGTTGTTGAATGGCGCTCTCGCTGGGGCGCCAGCTACATTTTCATTGTAAATGAGGTTCACGCTCGAGCGTTTTGGGGGACCGCCAAAACCGGCCCCCCAACAACAACAACAACGCTCCCGATCGAGACGTTATCCTGGCTCGCCTCCGAAAGCCGCCGTCCTAACAAAACCAGCGCTCCCGCTCGAGACTTCCTTCCGTTTTACCTTGGACGGGCGCGCTGGTCTTTCTCTCATCGGCGCCGCCCCCAGCCAAAACAACGCTCCCGCTCGAGGCGTTCTCCCTTTTTTACTCAAGGCGGTGCTCCTCCTCGCCGCCGAAAGCCGACGCCCCGACAAAACCAGCACTCCCGCCCAAGACTTCCTTCCGTTTTACGCTGGACAGGCGCCCTATTCTCTTTTGAATTGGCGCCGCTCCCAGCAAGAACAACGCTCCCGCCCGAGGCCTCCTCACTTTTTCATGAAGACGGTGCTGTTCCTCGCCGCCGACAACCCCAGTCCCGACAAAACCACGGCTCCAGCTCGATGCTTCCTCCCTTCTCACTCAAGGCGGTGTTCCTCCTCGCCGCCGAAAGCCGCCGCCCCGACGAAACCAGCGCTCCCGCCCGAGACTTCCGTTTTGCGCTGGACAGGCGCCCTATTCTCTTTTGAATTGGCGCCGCTCCCAGTAAGAACAACGCTCCCGCCCGAGATTTCCTTTCTTTGTCCTCGGACGGTGCTGTTCCTCGCCGCCGACAACCCCCGTCCTGACAAAACCACGGCTCCCGCTCGATGCTTCCTCCTTCCTTACTCAAGGCAGAGTTCCTCCTCGCTGCCGAAAGCCGCCGTCCCAACAAAACCAGCGTCCCCGCTCGAGAATTCGTTTTGTTTTTCGCTGGACGAGCGCCCTACTCTCTTCAGCAGTGGCGCCGCTCCCAGCAACATCAGCAGCCCTGCTCGAGACTTCCCCTTTCTATTCAGGGCCAGGTCCTTGCCTCACCGCCGACAGCCCCCATCCCCACCAAGGCAATCCTGTCGTTCGATACTTCCCTGTGCTTTACCCTTCACTGGGATTCCACTGGCGGTCTCGCATCGTCGCAGCAAGGCGCGGGCGAGTGTTTTCGAGGCGGGATATGTTGGAATTCCTCGGAGGAGGTGTTTGCAAGACCTCATTGGGCGAGTGATCTGGGAATGGGAAGAATGGACCCCGCTATAGAACAAGAGTCCCCCATAATGTGGATGGTTATCATGATGGTCGCATGCTTCGTGTGGAAACATTGTGCACGAGGGTAAAATAATTGTTGTTGTTGATGCTGTTGCTGTTGTTGTTGTTGCTGCTGCTGTCGTTGCTGTTGTCGTCGTCGGTCCTCGGCCTCATCGTCGGCCGGTGGCCCACGCCGGCGGCAGGTATTTCGGCATATGCGGCGACATCCACCCCGCGCGGCTCGCCTGCTTCAATGGTGGCGGCCGCCGTGTCACCTTCGAGGGCCTGCCTCCAGAGCCCGACGAGGCCCTGAAGGGCACGGACCCTGTGGAGGACGGAGGCGCCTTTCAGGCAGGCCTCGGGATGACGGGGGGAGGAATGCATCGACCCGATGGGGGCCCGATAGCCTGCCCCGTCCAGGAATTCGCGGGTTCGCTATCCGTGGCCTTCGCCGATGCATCGCCGATGGATCGCCGATTACAGGTCAATGTTTCCCCCCCTTGAGCCAGTCCACCCCTGGCGTTCCCCCTCGTTTCAGGCAGGGCCAGGTTGAGGACAGCTGTAGGTGGCGACATCCGAACCCTATCGCCACCAACCATCGATCTTCCTAAATCGACGGGAGGCGGGGGTAGGGTTCGGATTTCCTCACGTGTTCGACGAATTCCGAATCCTGCCCCCTGAGCCAGTCGCCCATCGAGTTGCCCGAGTCGTTGATCGTCGAGGGTAGGGGTCGGATTTTGCCGCCGAAGATCGTTCCAGAGCGTTCGGCCCACCCTGGGAGCGCCTTGGAAGCGCCCCAGGAGCGCCCGTGGAGCGCCCTGGGACGCCCTCAGAGCTTTGAGGGCCGCTCTGCAGAGCGGCCGCGGTGCCCGACATCCGCCAGGCCCGCCGGATCTCATGGGTTCTCTGGCGCAGTCGATCCTATTGAATTCTGACCCCGTGCCGATGCAGCCCGATCCGACGCACATTCCTATTTATCAGATTTCCTGATTCGATGCTGATTGATCTTGACCACGTTCTCCCCCACAGTTTGCTATGCTGTCGGGGTATCAATTGGCCCTTATTCCTTCTCCTCCTGCTCCTCCCTCCCAAAACAGTTAGTTTTCGTGCCTCAGGGGTTCAATGGCCCTTTCTCCGCATGCTACAAATGCCCTCCTCCCTCCTGGGAAGCTGCCCAGACATGGGCCTCACAGAAGCTGTTGCGTCTAGCGCGGGTGCGGAATAAGAGAACGCGCAATTGCGCGGGCGAGTTCGAAGCGTGAGAAAAGCAGGCAGATTGAGACCTCTGCATGCGGGAGCACCTGGAAACGGACAGCTGGGCGATGGGAAGCGCAAGAGTGGAATGGTCCGCAGGGCATAGATCACGTAAAGGCCCTCTCCTTCCTCTCCCTGTTCCTTCGCACCCTCGTCCTCCTAGCTAGCCACACAGGTTCAGCTGCTGCGCACGCCGTGGCCATGCCGCAGCCCCTCGGCACCGCTGCCTCGGCCGATGTGCTGCGGCGAGCCCTCTCGCCTGCATTCGGGAAGACCGAATGCTTGAAATTGCTGAAGAATGCAAAGACGCTGACGTGTTATTCAGAGCCATCCGGCTACATCACCAAAGACGAGGTGTCCAAGAAGTCGTGTGGGATCATATTCTCGTTGCGCAAGAACACATCTACGTGCGCAGAGTATCGTCAGGATTTGGAACGCTATCCCTGGACTTGGTCGGTTCGCTGAAGTACGATTGCGTGGGCACAATGTCGACATCGCCTTCATTGGTCGTCCTAGTGTTACCCAGGGTCCCAAGACCTTCGCGAGCGTGGTCGCGTCGAGGCCACCGCCGACAAGGTACTGAGGCTGACGGACCATGTGCTCAGCTCCCCCCCCAGCCCACTCGATGCCGATCCTTGCCAAGGACGCCAACGAACATCGGGCGGTGCGGTAGGTCGAAGGAACACCACGCGGGCCGAGCGGTACTTCAGCTATGCAAGAAACCCGTGATGATGTTCTTCCTTGTCGGCCCTTGCTTCAGCTGGACAGATCGCGCGTGCATCCTGGGCGATTGCGCGCCTCGGATCACGGACTTCACACACATTTGGGTCAAATCGAAGACAGCAAGTTGCCCTTGGTAGTCGACCTCGTGAACACATCGCGTTCCACTTGAACATACTAGTGCAGCTAGACCACGCGCCGAAGAACGGCGATCATATGTAGGACCACCTAGGCGTTGCCAGAGCCCTTAATTTGGAGATCGGCTCGTGGACCGACCGCATCACTACCGAGCAGGCCCTCCATCTGATCATAGCCGACGGAGGCGTCGCCTATCATGCAGAGGTTCATGACGATGAAACGACTCGTGAACGTTATGACAGAATAAACAAACATTCGTGGCCACCGACAAGGCGATGCTGATCCCGTACCTGGGGCTTCTCGAAGAAATAATGTTAACGCTAGAAGACAGGAGGACAACGACAGCAGCGGTTGCGATCGACGTGGACAGTGCACTCGCATAAATTTTGCCACCAGGAAGGGCAAGCACATGCGGAGGAACAGGTACACGAATATTGAACACACCCACTAAACGACGGGCTACACAAGGCAGCGCAGAGAGGTAAACTTTCGGAGGAGTGGAGAATCTGCAGACTACTGGCGGCGAGCGAAGTCGGTGAACACCGAAAATCGTACAACACGGTGTCAGGCGCGATCCCATCAGCATTGGTACCGAGAAAAGACCTGACACGACCATGTCAGCGGGACTCAGGCAGCAGCAGAGGCCCGGTCAAACCAACAGGTTGGCCCGTGAACGGGCGGGGCACGACTTGGAAAATCAAAAGCAGTGCGACCTGCATGCATGATGTGAAGGACGTGCAAGACGAGTGTGCAAGCTTTATGCCACTGCGCAGAGGGGGGGGGAGGGAAGGGGAGGAGGAGGAGGACGGGAGGGAGGGGGGGAGGGAGAAAAGTAGCCCGTCCTTACGTCTGCAAGCAGTACTCCACGAACGCGTCCTCGTCCTCTTCTGCAATGCTTGTAGTCCAGTGAGATGCTGTGTTCAAAATATCACGCGTGAAAGATGCCAGCCGGTCGTCCCATCTTGTTGGCGGACGGCCTCGCACCCTCGAGGCGCCATGCGTGCTCGCCGGTCTCCATCCGATAACTGCATGAACCCAATCAGTTTCTGAATCGACTGACTTCCGAGCAAGTTTAAACAAGCGGCGACAGAACAGGGCGCTCCAATTGTCAATTGGAAAATGCACCAAGGCATCGTTGACTCTGTCCCTCATGTGTCGCATAGTGTCGGCCCACTCTTCTCCGTCGACTCTTCTCCATCCAACAATCAAACGGAGTATTTTGCTTTGAATGACGTCTAGAGAACCCAGCTGTTGCTTGGTCAGAGGCAGACATGCCAGCCCAAAGATCAAAGTCGGCGTAACCACCGATTGAAATAACTTGAGCCTTAGGCGAACCGACACACTTTGGTCTGTGAGCGCGTGACGATGTTCATGAAATTGCTGCCAAGCTCGTCGAAGTCGTTGTCTTAGTTCAGTTGTGGTGCGGTCCTTAAGGTTCGCCGGCAACGTCTTCCCTAAATATTTGTGCGTGTCCGTGCCGCTCATGACCTTAATCATGTTGTTTTCAACCTCGATAAACATTGCTCCGGCCGTCTCCTCGGAAGTGAGAACCTTCTTCTTGTCCGGGTTCAGGTGCAAGCCAACGGCTGCCAAGTCCTCCATCAGCACTTCCAGCATGTTCGCCAACTCGTCTGCAGACTGTGCGTAGAGCATAATGTCATCTGCGTATCGAACATTCGTGAGCAGCCTCCCATTCCCCAGAGGGACACCAACATCCTCTACCCGTTGTTTCCATCTTGTCATCGCCATTTCTAACCCAGCATTGAACAACATTGGGCTGATGACGTCTCCTTGTTTGACTCCGCGTTGTATTGGGAATGGCTGCGCCCCGGCTACGTAACCCGTCTGGTTGGAGTACAACGACGCCAACAGAGCGACGTGGTCTGCATCCACACCTTGGCTACGTAGGGCTCGGAACAAGGAAGCATATTCGATCCTGTCGAATGCCTTCCGTAAGTCGAGACTTGCGCACCAGAGCGGCACGCCCCATTCGAAGCATTTGCTGCAAGTAACTTCGAAAACCAAGAAGGCATCTTCTACCGAATGTTTTTTCCTGAAGCCAACTTGATCGGGCCCCTGAGCACGTTGCAGGACGTCCCGTAGCCGGTGGTAGAGCATCCGAGAGAATACTTTGTAGGTCATCTTGAGGACAGCGATCGGCCTCCAATTCTTCGACTGCGACAGGTCCCCGGTCTTGGGCAGCATGGTAAACAAAGTATCTTTCCACGAATCCTCCAGAAGCCCCGTGCGCACCATATCATTATACATGTGTAGCAGGTAGTCCAGGAAATTGTTGGAGGCATGCTTGAACATTTCTGCGACGATGCCGTCTGTGTCGGCGCCTCTCCTGTTGTTCAGCACCTTGATTGCTTTGCCAAGCTCTGCCTTCGTGAACGCAGGAACGTTGAAGGGACCTCGATGACCCGATAGTTCCGCAGGTACTTCTTCAGAGGAAGAGAATATGTCAGCCAGAAATCCTGCCAACGCTTCAGGGGCACATTATGCGTCACCCAATTCCTTCCGCTTCCGTGCCGGAAACAGTTTCGCTTCTGCGAGTCGGTGTAGGTCACGGAACTCAGTCAGAATTTGCTGGGTGCGCCTGGCCTTCTGTCTCCGGAGTTCGGCCCGCACTGCCCTGCGAATTCATATGGAGATGTCCCTTCTGCCTGCAGACCCGCTTGGGAGAGAACGACGTTGGCTGAGAAGATCTTGGAAAGCACCGTCGGCCCAAAAGGCTGGCTGATTGCTCGTTCGTTTGTCATGCCCTGGCGCAACAGTGTTCACGCAAATATCAAGATCGGAAAGGCAAGTTGGCGGATACGCCCGCAAGTATGCATCCACGTCGTGACAATACGCACGATCATCGCCAGGCTCCCAACCTCGAGGGTCATACCTGGTTCTGCGCCTCTGGCCAGATGTCTTGGTACGTACACATGCGTATACAGCTCTGTGGTCGGAGCCCAAACACATCGAATTGACAGCTGTACTCTGCTCCACCCGCGCCGCGCGTGGCAGCAGAATGAAATCGATGCACCTTGTAATGCCCATGCTTGAGCGGAACGTCCAGAGGTCAGCGTTCTGAAGCCTTGGCGGGAAATTCGCAATTTGAAGGCCGTGTGCCGCTGTAAATTCGTTTAGTCTTTGACCACGGGGCCCAATATTGAACTGAGAATTCCAATCTCCCCCAATGACAACAAGGCTGTTCTTGTTCTGCTTCTGGGACGTGCGCACCATGCCATCGAGGTCATTGTAAAACGAATCGAGGGCATCCTCGGCAAATCCAGCATGCGGCACATATACTGCGAAGCATGTGTACACACGACTATGCATCACAATGTCGATACCAAGAGCACGATCGCTGCATTTACGGACTTTTTTAATGTTGGGGACGTGGCGCTCGTGTACCAAGATGCCGACGCCTGCAGCGACATAGTCCCCCAGATCGAGAAACAATGTGTGGCCGCCCTCGAGTGTGAGTTCAGATGACGGTGCCCGCGTCTCGCTGAATAAAACAATATCCCACTGTATGCCTACAAGCTCTGATAATAACTCTGTCAATTGTGCGTTCGTCCTTAATCTTGTATTCTTTGTGTAAATGTGAGGTTCCCCTGTCAAGGTAGGGGGTGAAACTTGGTTTGACCGGTGCTGTCCCTACTCCTGCCTAGCAGGTTTTTCTTCTCCCTTGCCCTTGTCAGCGGCCTGTTGTAACGAATTCTGGCATTTGTCACGCAAGGCTGTGAAATCCACGTCGTTGTGCAGCGCCTCCTACGTTTTCCAATCCGGCTTCAACCATATAAGTTTCAGCGTATGATCAGAAGTGGTATTGGCCACCAGCACGGTGTCGATCCCGAACTTCATGGAGCACGTGGTGTCGTCGATCTTGATGGACTTCGCTGCGAAGCCCCAGCTGATCAAGAGCTTTTTTAAACCAAAAAGGAAACGTAGGGGCACTCGAACATGTAGCGGCTGATCCAAATTAGCCCAAACCCTTTTGCTTGAGCACGTGATGGCTTCGGACCGGAACCTCTTCACAGCGCTTTGAAGGTCATCGGGGTTCGCCATTCTTCCAAACACGAGTCCATTATAGGGCTCTCCCTTAATGAACATCTCGGTCGGAGGTGGGATCTGTACTTTCCGGAGCTCCTCTTTGATGAACTGCTCGGCCTCCGCCAAGGAAGAGAGGCCATCCAAGCCACCGAAGATGGCGGTCACAGATGTTGAATCCGAAGCCCCTCGTGACGTCGTCAGGTGCTTCAGCATGTCCCATCTCCGCCAAACGAGCCTCGACTGACGCCCGGCTGTCCACTGTACCGAAAGAGCGTGGAGTGATTTGGGCTGATGCAGTCTCGAGTGCTTCCACTCGCTGCGTAATATCTGCGATGTCCTCCCGGACCGGTTGAAGAGCTTCTTCGAGATGGTGTCGAGAGACTCCATGTTCTTTGATTGCCGTGATATCCTGACGGAGTGGCGTCAGACGTTCATCCAACAGCCGTGCCATGGATGAAATTGTCAGTGGTGTGTGATCCTGTGCGTCCTCGAGCTGCTTCTGAAGCTCCTGCTGTCGTAGTGCCGTGGGGACATCATCGTCCATCTCCTGCAAGGGGCTGGACCCGATCCTCGCTTTCTTGAGCTCCTGCTTGCTCGGCGTGGACATGAGTGGCGTCTCTGCGGAACTGCTGCCCAGTACTCCACCCACTGGAGTGCCCGGCTGCCGAGAATTCGGCGGCATGAAGACAATCGAAAGAGGCAAGAACAACGTATGTGCGTATGGGAGTAAGATGTAAAAGGTGAGTGCAGAAAGGAGGTAGGATTGATTGATGTGAGAAAGCTTGAGCCACCCGGCAGCTCTTGAGCCAAAATGGCTACGAGCTACGACCCGGGACTCAGGAGATTTACTATTAATGCCTCGAGCGTGAACGTGGTTGTCACGATGGAGAAGCGTCCAACGGAGCAGCTACGCCGAGCGAGCCGGTTGCAACGCCATTGAGATTTGGTGTTGGCACGGTCGAGCCGAAGGGAACGATTCCCAGCGAGTCTCATAGGGGTGCGATCCCGCCGCTGCTCCCACCCTGAATGTCAGGATTCGAGTCCATTCTGACACCCGTAATTACTCTCCCTTCTCCTCGCTTCCCGCGAACGCCTTTGCGGGTCTCCCTCCCTCGACCTTTGCTCCGCCCCCCTGCGCACGAGACCTCCCTGACGAACTAACTGCATAGACCCCCCCTTTTCCGCAGTCTCCCCTCCCGAACGCCCTAGGCAGTCCTCGAGCACCGAGGTCTTAGCACAACTAATGTCTCTCGGATAGGAGTCCGTTTGCGGTCGTTCTCTCGCATCTCTTGTGTGGCCCGCTCAAGCAGTAGGGTTCCAGAAGCCGTACGTCTTTTTACAGGTGGGTTTGTCCCGAAGTCTTCGGGTGCCCGACACTGGTGCGTGACTGCTGTAGCTGACACAGGCACGAACCAGCGTTTTCGTTTGTTATTCCTCCTCGTACTCGTCTTCTTTCTTGTTCTTCTGTCAGCATGAGTGGACTGGGCCCTGAACCCCGTGGCCTTCCAGCGGGACCAGCTTCTCATCCTGAGAACCGTTTCTGTTGAAAGGCCTCGGGCTCTGGCATGGCACCGACCGGCCCGAAACGGCAGAAGGCATCAGGGCCCGTTTCTCACATGGCTTGCTTGCGTCCTGGCAGTTCTCCTCCCAGGGTGGCCGGGGGTACATGGGCCTCTGTCCTGCCCTGCCTGGGCTACGGATGCTCCTTTGCGATCCTCCGATCCTGCTGCCCCTCCCTGCAGGGCCCTCTTCGATCTGATCGACCTGGTTCGATCGATGTCGACATCCAGCCAGCTCGATCCGATATTCGATTCCGACGATCCCCTGCGGCCCGATGCTTGTATGGAGCTCTTGATCATCCTGGTGCGGCCGATCCGATTCGATTTCGACCCCGTGCCGATGCGGCCCGATCCGACGCACACCTCCGATCCGATCCGACTCCCTGGTCTGGTGCTGACGGATCCTTCCCCCTTCGGAGGACCTTCGCCAGCTCTCCGCCACGCTGGGCGCCGGAGAGGCGCCCGCAGTGCTGTTCGGGCACCCGGCGAGGCTGCTGCCGCTGCTACGGGAGGCGCCCTCGTGGGGCGTGGACCCGCTCGGGGCGCGAGATAATTCCTCCTTTCATCCTTCATCGTTCCTCCTCTATCCTTCTCTATTCCCCTCTCTCCCTCCCCATCTTTCTCTTCTCATCTCCTCCTCCTCGTCCCTTCTCCTGAGGAGGAGGGGCTGGAGGAGGGGGAGGGGGAGGAGGAGGAGGAACAGTAGGAGGGGGGCGAGGGGGAAAGAGGAGGAGGACCAGAGTACTATACAAAGGAGACGTCAACGATGCTGCAATATATCCTCCCGTCCCAGGTTTTGTCTCACAAGTCTCTGCAAGTATTCATGTCAACTGTGGGATGCGCCCCCTTGAACGACGAGTGCATGGTTGGCCTGGCAGTCAGGCGAGACTACATGTTGTGGATACATCCTCCATCATTCGAGTTAAGAGATGTACAAGGAGGTAGGATGGTACAGCTTGAGGGAGTGTCCAGCAGTAGCCCCGTTTGAAAGGATCTGTCTTGCATCCGTGTAAGTGGTGCGCGTCCCTTACGTTTTGGTACTCAAATTCGCGGTCAGAGCCGCATTTTGAAAACGACCAGGCTTCCATCCGTGTAGTTGCCAGAAGTGTCTAAAACGAAGTTGTTCTGCGCTGAGGCGAGAGCAGCATTTGGAAAACCGCTGTCCCTCCATGTTTGTAAGGGCCGGAAGCTTCACACACGAATGTCCTCGGAAGGGCCGATATCAGCATGTCGAACATATACAGCCGTCGATTCGTGTAGCTGTTGGAAGCTTGTCAAGCGAATGTGCGCGGCGCTAATGCGAAAGCCACATTTTGAAAACCATAGGCCCTCCATGCTTCTAACGGTTGGAAGTGTTCAGAATATTTGCTTGCTGCACCAAGGCGGGAATCGCAGTTTGAAACCTACCGAGTTCCCATCCGTGTAACAGCTGATGTTGTGTTGCTTCAGCATGTTTGTTGGCAAGAGTGTCTCGAGCGAAACGCCCGGTCGGACCTAGGGACACGTCTGGCGGTGCGAAGACAATATGAAGGGAGAGGGACGGAGGAGGAGGAGGAGGAGGAGGAGGAGGAGGAGGAGGGGGAGGGAGGGGAAGAAGGAGGAGGAGGATGAGGAGGAGGAGGAGGACAATTCTGAGGAGGGAGTTGCATTGAAACATGCAGCGCGAGGACGGGGAGGTCAGGGAGGACGATTACGAGGACGAACTGTAAGAAGGCCTCGAGCAGCCAAGGCAGCTGTGGCAGTGGGCTGCAGCTGTAGCGGCAGGTGGAGGATGCCCCAGGATTGGCAGGATGAGGCTTCGGGGCGGTCTGGAAGTTTCTAGACGGTTCTTGCGTGGCGGGTGGGGCGGGGACAGTTGATGGGGGGACGTCCTTGTCCTTTCTTCATTTTTTCGCCGTCCTCCTAACCTCTTCGTTCTTCCTTGCTTCGTCTTTCCTCCTTGCCCCGCCCCTCTCACTCATGCCATTCTTCGTCCGCGTGCCCCGTCGCTCCTCCATCCTTTTTCCTCCTCCTCTTGGTTCTCCTCCCTGCTCCCTCGATCCATATGTCCTTCCTTCCTCCCCCGCCTCCCTCATTTGTCCGTCTTCGTTCCGCCTTCTCTCCATCCTCCTCTTTTCTTGTTTTCCTTCCCTCTGTCTGCTAACGTATCCTTGATGCCGTCGCCTTTCTCCTGGACCAACATCTCTCATCTCTCATCTCGACGTCCCGTCTCCAAGCAGATGGTCTCTCTCTTAGAGCAGATCCTCCGACTTTTCTCGTTCCCTTCATTTCTACTATCTCTCGCCCTCTGGTCCTTATTCCCTCTTTGTTCGTAACCTTCCTCCTTCCCACTCTATCTTGCCCCCTTCCTCCCCCTTGTCCTTCTCATCCTCCTCATACGCCTCATGCTCTCAGTGCCTGGGATATGTTCCGAAAACTTCTCCTTGCCAAAATCCCTCCACCTGGCGCCCCCTCCGTCCCCAGCAGAACCACGGGTGGCTCCTGGCCGCGAGCACAAACAAGGTACGATTCGCAGCAGAACTGTCCAGCGAACCTATCCCGTAGCCCTCTCCTCGAGTTTTTGGCGCCGTTTGTGGCTGGCCGCTTTGGGGCCTCCGGGGACCCCGCGGGAGCCCACGGCGACGCCCGTGGGGACCCGCGGAGAACGCCATAGGCCCCTTGAGATGTCCGCAGGGGCGCGGCGGGCCGAAGGGTTTTTCGGACACACGCACACACACACACATACATACGTACATACATACATACATACATACATACATACATACATACATACATACACACATACACACATACAGAGACAGACAGACAGACCGACAGACAGACAGACAGACAGACAGACAGACAGACAGACATACATATTTACATACATATATATATATGTATATATATATATATATACATATATATATATATATATATATATATATATATATATCGGAGGTGTGGGGGTGAGATCGAAGTGGAACGGAGAGCCCCCCTACCGGGAAATCGATTTCGGTTTCGTGTTGTTCGTGCGTGCCATGCGTGCGGGCGAGGCGAAGTTGCGTGGGCGGGCGAGAGGAAAGTCTCCTGTGGCTGAGGCGCGGCCGGACCAAATGATTCTCCACCGGGCGGCCGGTGGCGCGCGGTGTCCCGCCGGTGTCCCGGTGGTGTCCTCTGTGGCTGAGGCGCGGCCAGACCAAATGATTCTCCACCGGGCGGCCGGTGGCGCGCGGTGTCCCGCCGGTGTCCCGCCGGTGTCCCGTCGGTGTCCCGATCATGATGATGATGATGATGATGATGATTATGATGATGATGATGATGATGATGATGATGATGATGATGATGATGATGATGTTGATGATGATGATGATGATGATGATGATGATGATGATGATGATGATGATGATGATGATGATGACGTCGATTGTGATATCGGTAGTGAGACCGAATGTGAGACCGATAGTGAGACCGAATGTGAGACCGAATGTGAGACCGAATGTGAGATCGATAGCGAGATCGATTGAGTGAGACGTTGGTTCCCCCTCCCCCCTCACCTCTCACCCGCAGGGTGGTCGTATAGGTATACATACGTATAAGTACCTATACGACCTCCCTGCGGGTGAGGAGGTGGGGGGGGGCAGCAATGGGCAAAAATGGTGATTGTTGTTCTGACGATGTCTGTGGGGCGGTGGCCGCGGCCCACCCACAGGAGGATTTTGGGACACCAGCGGGACACCGGCGGGACACCGCGGGCCACCGGCCGCCGGAGGAGAAACATTTGGTCCGGCCGCGGCCCAGCCACAGGAGGATTTCTTCTCGCCCGCCCACGCAGCTTCGCCTCGCCCGCACGCGCGCACGGCACGCACGACACGAACCCGAAACCGAAATCGATTCCCCGGTAGGGGGGGTCTCCTTTTCACGTCGGACTCACCCCCCAACCTCCGTTATATACACATATATATATACATATATATATATATATTGAGAGAGAGAGCGAGAGAGAGAGAGAGAGAGAATTGTTTAAACAATTCATTGGCGTGTATCCGTCGCTGCTTGGGCCAATCACCGCCCTTAGGTAACAGTAGCGATCGTACGGGGGGGGGGCCTGGACACCCCCCCACATGTTGGTGCTCGCACGCATGCTATGGCGATCGCCTCATTCACCACGCCGAAATGTTATCATTATCCGTTCCCCCCCCCGCTTTTGGGGAACAGCCGTCACCCGAAATGATTATTCATTGCGTCGAGATCCCCATACGCGCGTCCATTTGCGTTGGCTCTTTCCGCCGCAACTGTCGTAAAAGACTTCGAACATAAACGGGCTTGAGTGTTGACTGAATGTGAGTCTGCATGCGACTGGGTTTGAGTGTGGATGAGTCTGGGTAGTGTGATTGGGTCCATGCGCATCTGTCAGAGTATAATTAAGCTTAGAGTGAGTACGTTTGCGCGTCAGTGGCCAGATCATGACTGAGCGTGGTTGAGTCGGAATGGATACGGGATCTTTCCATACTGAAGCAAGTAACACTGCTGTTCATGCAGACGTCGGGTGAGACCCTTGCGCTGCGTCGGCTGGCCAACAATACAGTGGCTCACGCAAACATCTCACGCGACACACCGCGTTGAAGAGAGAGGGTCTGGTCGTGGCGCCACGCTGGAAGCTCACGCGCCAATCCGTGCCCCCGCTGTCGGAGATACCTGCGGCATTTCAGGCAAGAGCGCGTGGCGCGAAGGACGGAACACGTGGATTGTTTCTCCAGCGGCCAGAGTTAGTGCAGTTCGCCACCAGATTGAGAAGCGTCGTCGGGAGATTCCGTCGAACCAGACCGTCCGCGTTTGGCAGCGGACCCATGAGCCAGGCGATCATCTGCTCTTGGCATCGAGCAGCGCGCGGCTGGGCGCACGGTGGACAGGGGCAGGCTGTCGCCTGCGCTTGGCGTCGGGCCCGCAGATTTGTCATGCTCACACAGTGGCCATAGAAAGACTGATCCCTTGGCTCTTTTGAGCCAGCTCCTGCAACGCCGCCCGCACTTGGCATCGGGCCACGGAGGGCTAAGGCGGCGATTCTTTTTTTGGCGGCGACATCCCGTATCTCTCGGCAGGCAGAACGGCCCCATCGCCTTTAAGCCCTCCTTCTATTCGAAGCGTTCGAGAGCGCCCTTCGCCGGCTTCGGCGGACCTCGTTCTGGCGGCCGCGCCAACAGCATGCCCGCCATCTGGATGGCGCGGGAGAACATCTCGCAGCCATCGTGCGTCGCCCTCGCGCCGCGCTGTTCCTGGGGCCCCCAGCTCGCGCAGTCCTTGGCCACCGCGCCCCGCAATCTTCTTGCCCCTGCGAGGCCGTCGTCGTCAGGTAGTGGGCGTGCGAGACCATGGGGCCGAAGCGCCGCGCGCTGCGCGCCGCGGACGACGCCCCCCGGGCGACGGCGGCGGTCATCAGAGGCGCGCAGAAGAGGCCGCAAGTCATCTCCTCTGTTGCAGCCTTCTCTGCGTTGTCCACGCAGTCCATGAACTCTGTCCACGCTGAGACCTGCAGTCGCCGACCTGCCGC